ACATACAGTAGATACCAGCCTGTATCTCCACCCCTGCATACAGGCTAGACATACAGTAGATACCAGCCGATATCCCCACACCTGCATACAGACTAGACATACAGTAGATACCAGCCGATATCTCCACCCCTGCATACAGGCAAGACATACAGTAGACACCAGCCGATATCCCCACCCCTGGATACAGGCTAGACATACAGTAGATACCAGTCGGTATCCCCTCACCTCCATACAGGCTAGACATACAGTAGACACCAGCCGATATCTCCACCCCTGCATACAGGCTAGACATACAGTAGACACCAGCCGATATCCCCACACCTGCATACGGGCTGGACGTACAGTAGATACCAGCCGATATCCCCACCCCTGCATACAGACTCGACGTGCAGTAGATACCAGCCGATATCTCCACCCCTGCATACAGACTAGACGTACAGTAGATACCAGCCGATATCCCCACACCTGCATACAGACTCGACGTACAGTAGATACCAGCCGATATCCCCACACCTGCATACAGACTCGACGTACAGTAGATACCAGCCGACATCCCCACACCTGCATAAAGGCTAGACATACAGTAGATACCAGCCGATATCCCCACCCCTGGATACAGGCTAGACATACAGTAGATACCAGCCGATATCCCCACACCTGCATACAGACTTGACGTACAGTAGATACGAGCCGATATCCCCAAACCTGCATACAGACTAGACATACAGTAGATACCAGCCGATATCCCCACCCCTAGATACAGGCTAGACATACAGTAGATACCAGCCGATATCCCCACACCTGCAGACAGACTAGACGTACAGTAGATACCAACCGATATCCCCACACCTCCATACAGGCTAGACATACAGTAGACACCAGCCGATATCCCCACCCTTGCATACAGGCTAGACATACAGTAGATACCAGCCGATATCTCCACCCCTGCATACAGACTAGATGTACAGTAGATACCAGCCGATATCTCCACCCCTGCAATCAGGCTAGACATACAGTAGATACCAGCCGATATCTCCAACCCTGCATACAGGCTAGACATACAGTAGATACCAGCCGATATCCCCACACCTGCATACAGGCTAGACATACAGTAGATACCAGCCGATATCCCCACAACTGCATACAGACTAGATGTACAGTAGATACCAGCCGATATCTTCACCCCTGCATACAGGCTAGACATACAGTAGACACCAGCCGATATCCCCACCCCTGGATACAGGCTAGACGTACAGTAGATACCAGTCGGTATCCCCACACCTCCATACAGGCTAGACATACAGTAGACACCAGTCGATATCTCCACCCCTGCATACAGGCTAGACATTCTGTAGACACCAGCCGATATCCCCACACCTGCATACAGGCTGGACGTACAGTAGATACCAGCCGATATCCCCACCCCTGCATACAGGCTAGACATACAGTAGATACCTGCCGATATCCCCACACCTGCATACAGGCTAGACGTACAGTATATACCATCCGATATCCCCACCCCTGCATACAGGCTAGACGTACAGTAGACACCAGCCGATATCTCCACTCCTGCATACAGACTAGACATACAGTAGATACCAGCCTATATCTCCACCCCTGCATACAGGCTAGACATACAGTAGATACCAGTCGATATCCCCACCCCTGCACACAGACTAGACATACAGTAGATACCAGCTGATATCTCCACACCTGCATACAGGCTAGACATACAGTAGACACCAGCCGATATCCCCACCCCTGGATACAGGATAGACATAAGTAGATACCAGCCGATATCTCCACCCCTGCATACAGGCTAGACATAC